CACACATATAGATTTCTTTTTAAGTGTGGGACCAATTATGTAGAGTGGCCCATACACAAACTCATAGCGTGATAGCAAGATAGCTGATATTCCCTGTTACATCAGACATGATGCATGCCTGATATCTCCTATTAGATAACTGGTTTGAATAATTGTTAATCTATTTTCTCTTAAAAGGAGTTTCAATAGGAAACAGGTAATGCAAGCTGAAAGCACTAGGCCAGCTGCTCGTTGTTGTCATGGTGATCTTAATCACCACACAAACACCTACAGAAGGCCAGAAACTATAACAATCACCCAAGCAGAGCCTCATAAAGAGTGTGATTGTGGAGATCTGGAATCATAAGGTACAATCTTCCACAGACAAGCCTCTCCATTATTCCTTTCATTTCTTGTGCTCGCATTTGGCAATGGCTGATTAAAGGCCGAAAATAGGTGCGTCGATTTGATACAAAGGAATGCTCGTGTTATTGCAAGCGACAAACAAGATGACATATGCGAAGTAATGCATATCGTATTGATATTTAACTGAAAATCCATACTATGTGGGTGTAAGTGGGTGTGTGTGTGGTAATTAACTGCGCAATGATCTCCGGTGCTTAGCGTTTCCAGCTCTCTCTTGTGTAGAGGCTGCTAATTAAAAAATAATTAAGAGGTGGGGGGAAAAAAATCAAACATTGTTTGCGATCAAGCACCGCATGCTGGGGGTGGGCTTAATTATGGTACGCCGTCGAGAGGGTCATGTCATCACCACGGCTACCTCTCAACATCGATTAAACACATGCCTTATCAGTGACACAACCCGAGCAATCCACTTCACAATCCAAGAAAGACAAGGCACGGACACGCAGTGGAAGGCCCGTCTCAGTGGACCGCCAATTACGCGCAATTACACTGAGAGACCGTGAAAGAGAGAGTGGTTACATTAACTCCTGTACAGTCGTACAGTCGCGTAGTTACCGGTCTATTCTGGGATGTGAGCCCAGCTGACTGCACATTTATCTCCACTCTCATCTGTGAGCCTTGTGTAGGTGGGCACAGAGAAGTTCGCAAGCTTGGACGAGAAACAGAACTGACGAAAAGTTTGCACAGGAGCTAAACCGGAAGTTGTGGTCATATTACACGCAGAGATCCCCGGTGGTCAGACAGGCATGGTAAACACATCGTGCAATAGTCTTTTATCTCCAAATTGCATCAGATTCTGAAGTGAGTGAGTAAAACGGAGTAAGAGTGAGGGAGGACACCAAGATTAATGACACGCATCTGCATTTAAATTATGTCTGATTCCTCATTAACTCTCCAAGTTCACGTCGCCTGCCTCCACCCCCTCAAACGTAGCCTTTGGAGGAGTGGTGTGCTTTTACAGAGAATACATCAGGCCCAATGATAACATGACCCCCTGATATGGGCACAGAGCAAATGACAGCTAATTAGGAGGAAGTTCACCCTGAACACACACACACACATACACACTCAGCTAGCAGGTGTCTGACTGCTAGAAGCCATCTGACGGGAGTCTCGTTAGGATGTGGAAGCAATTTGAGCCCGGCGAACAGGACATTGGTCTCACTGTATATCATGGGAAATTACTGTGTATAGCAATCTGTATAAGAATGTTGGCACATGTTTCCAGTAAACTAGACTTGTTATTAGATTTAACAAATGATAAATGTCTTCAATTGAGCAAAGAATGAAAATTAAAGCTGGATTCATATCAATATTGATAATTGTGTTGCAAAAATTCAAAAAAAAATGTATTAAGTGTATAATACATTAATTTTCTGTGGTTTTATACAGATAGATGGAAGTCAATTTTTATTTGTAGCTTTAATGTTTTAAATAACCATGTGATGATAGAATGTCACATTCAGTGCAATGGTCCAGACCTTTTATCAGAGTTTCTGCAGGGATAATCAAGTCAAAATCAACTCAACCTGCGGTCTGTGTGGGTCCTAACGTCCCAGTATGGAGAAGAGGATTCTATACTACTCAGTGAGCGCCGTCTTTTGGATGAGACGCTAAACCGAGGTCCTGACTCTATGTGGTAGTTAAAAATCCCAGGATGTCCTTCGAAAAAGAAGGGTTTACCCTTATAATATATCAAGTAAAGTGAAATGTTGCTCAGTTATTATCATGAGAAATTGTGTAATTGTTTTTAGTTTTCTTTCTCTGATTAGGAAATTTAATTTGGAGAAATTGCTGTAACATGTATTGTACATTGTATCTCTTTGCAATAAAAAAAACAACAAATATTAAAAAAAGGTATTATTTATATTGTTCGTGAATGATAGGATGCTGGTCTGATAAGGCAGCTTTACTAGGACAGGGGAAAATTAAGACCTGTTTTAAATGATTTAAGACCTACAAATAAATATTTCAGTGAATTTTAAACACTTTTTAAAGACTTTTTACAATAAGACATTTTAATTTTCACACACACACACACACATACACACATACACACACACACACACACACACACACACACATATATATATACATATACATATACATATATATATATATATATATATATATATATATATATATATATATATATATATATATATATATATATATATATATATATATATATATACCGTATAATCAATTATAAATTATTTGGTATAATAGGAAAAACTATTTTAGATGGCTAAAAAAAGTTTCAAATGAGTTCCTTATAACTAATCTAAAAACCTTTCAATAAAAAGGGCTCTTTGGGGAACCATATAATTTTTTCTATGGCAGTGATACAAAAGTCCCTTTTATATTAGAACTTTTAGCTTCAATTTGCAATAAAATCACTGTGAACTGAAAGCGTATATTCAGATAAAAACAATAACAACTGTATACTGAAAGTATTATTATAATATGAAGAATTATACTTCTAAAATCCCTGAACATTTCTTAGAACTGACTAAAAATGCTTGCATTTATATTTTTTTAACAATAATTTCTTTATGCATTTGTATCACAGTGAAACAGAAAAGATCTGTCAATCTTTTCATTTCCTTGCAGGTCCTCAAGGTCCTCTAAAGAAGTAAAAAAAAGACACAAAATGAAACATGCTGACAAAGTAAGAGCACACAGCTATAAAATTAGTGAGAAGAACATCACTGAACCTTTAACTTCCAGAACATTTCCATTGTACAAAAGAAGGTCCTATATAGAGGGAGAATATTCTTTACATTGCAGAAAATGTCCTTTCATCTAAAAGCAGGTTATTAAAAATGTTTAAAGGTTATTAAAACAGGTTTAGTGAAAGACTCTTTAGAAAATGTAAATAATCTATGGCTGCCATTTCTTTGGTCAAAGTGTCTATTTTTACTTCAATTGCAACTGGATTATTATGAATAGAAAGAGTGTGATAAAAAAAAGATTTATATATATAAATATATAAATATAAATATATATATAGATATATATAAATGTAATGCAATGTTTATTTATATAGCGCATTTATCATGTATGGCCAAACACCCAAAGCGCATTACAATCATGAGAGGGTGTCTCTCCACACCACCACCAGTGTGCAGCATCCACTTGAATGATGCGAATATGCAGCCATAGGACAACGGTGCCAGAGCGCTCACCACCCACCAGCTATAGGTGGAGTCAATAGAGCCAATTTGGTGGATGGGGATAATTGGGAGGCCAAGGTAAGGAACAATAGGGGGATTTGGCCAGGACACTGTAGTTACATCCACTTTTTACAAAAATAGCCATAGGATTTTTAATGACCACAGAGAGTCAGGACCTCAGTTTAATGTCTCATTCAAAAGACGGCGCTCACTGACAGTATGGTGTCTCCTTCACTATGTATATCAGGGGATAAGGACTGCAGACTGCAGGTTGTGCACCCCCTGCTGGCCTCACTAACACCACTTCCAACAGCAATCTTGTTTTCCCATGTGGTCTTCAGGTATGGACCAAGCTCAACCATGCTTAGCTTCAGTGAGCAACCAGTCTTTGGCTGCAGGGAGATATGGCTGTGTAAGCTTCTTTTAAACCATTAGTCCCATTTAACCCTTTTACTACTGGCTGTAAGCTCCTATTCAGACCTGACTACTTCCAACAACAACAACAGACAACCAATTTATTTAATCACAAATACAATCCATTTCACATACAAGTACATAACATTATGGAAGTAATAATCCATCATATTTTTTTTCAAAGCAAACGTGTATGAAGAAACAAAAGACTAAATAAAACTGGCTGACAAAAAAGATAACATACAAAATTAATAAGAAGAGCTATAGTAAAAAAAAAAAAAGAGAGAAAGGATTGCACTTTCCCAAACAAAACAAAACCAACTGGCTATTCCTATTTGTTTTCTTGGCATGTTTAAATAAGTGTGGGCTGTCTTATATTCAAATGACTACATATTTGTGTTTTTCTTAAACACTAAAATAACCAAGAGACTTTGTCCCAAATACGCAGCTAATCATAGACTTTCTTAAAAATGAGTGAGAATAGCATTACTGCAAAAAAAAAGAAAGGATTGCACCATTACAAACAAAACACAACCAGTTGGCTTCAGCAAGAGCTCCTAAAGACTGTTGATGGCAGACACTTGAAATATAATGAATCGTCTTGAGTACACTATAGAATATCTGAGGCTCCTCCAGAAGAGACACATCTGTTCAGTGAGCACTTGACAGAATCCTGTTAATGCACTAACTGCAAAAACCCTCTTAAACTTCTACTTTTCTAACTGTCATCTCTGTTCTACTTCTCTGAGCTGTTCTGCAACTCCACACCGCAGCACTTCTTCTTAAGTCACTGCTTCCCTTATGTTGTGTCCCTTGCATGTAGTGTAAGTCGCTTTAGATAAAAGCCTCTGCTAAATGAGTAAATGTAAATGTGAGGGCACTTACACTGTGAATATGTGAAAAGATCACCGATGTAATTAAGGGAACCCAAACAGTGCCTCAAGTGCCTATTCATTTTTACGACAAAAGCTCGGATACTTAATCTTATAAGAATGTTTATGTAACCGGTGTTCGCACTCTCTGCGTTGTGTACAATAATGAGACAGGCCACTGGTACTGCTGATGGTGGGTTTATTGTCACTCAAGCGTCAGATCAGAGAATACTGGATGAATCAGAAAACAGCACAGTAAGTTGATATGATTTCGTTTGTAAATTTCCCCACCTCTCCTCAGCGCGCTCAATGCGGTCTGAATAAGCATAACAATAACATCATACCCAATTAAAACTGGGTAAACAGATCACAAAAGTACAAAAAGTAAATAAATAAAAATAACAAATGATTACAGTTCCATACATTGTGATATTAATTAATCTTCCCCTATCTAACTTTATATTAGAAATTAATGTAATTGCGAAACAAATGTAAACACAAAGAAGCATAAATGTACATAAAACAATACCTGGATGAATCAGAAAACAGCACAGTAAGTTGATATGATTTCGTTTGTAAATTTCCCCACCTAACAAATAAATAGCAGTTACAAAGTGTTAGAAGGTCATTCGAAATCACTGTGTCCAGTATACATACTTATACACACATACTCAATCAACTGTGCTCAGTAAAGTGATTAATTTTATCCATCCACATGAAGAAAAGTACTTCCTAGTTAATATAGAACACTCTTACAAACAATACAATCGCATATTTAAAGCTTATTTAAAGTTCTGACAACTTTTAGAACGATTTTCCTTGGAGCACCATTAAAAGCTCACCTCTCCTCGGCGCGCTCAATGCGGTCTGAGAACCCAGCGCGGCAACCGGAAGTGACGTTGCGCGGCAACCGGAAGTGACGTAGCGCGGCAACCGGAAGTAACGTTGCGCGCAAAACAAATATAAAACTATTTTCATTAAACAACACAAATAGAGTAAAAACTAAATTCTAACATATGTCTAAACAAATTGATGCAAAACAAATGCACGAAAATTAAAAGGAGGGACTATTAGTGAAATGCATTAAATTAATACTCTTATTAACACCCGTCACATTCACCCCTCCTGAATTTCACTAATATCCTGACCGAGATGACATCGATCTATCATAACCAGATTTTTAGCAAATCTTATTCGCAGTTCAACATTGCAAGTTACCCACTTAACGGGTTAAGAAAAGCCCAAGGTTGATCAAGTCCTAGACATTCTTAGAACAATATGCTGCCTTGTACAACATACAATAATCTGGTAAGATTTTAACTGAAATTCTTACGGCGCACATACTTAATTGTTATTTTTGCATCATCACAAAACTGATCTAAAATAAGGAAAGAACTGATCCTGATCTCCTTGTTAAAAGTGAGCCAACCCTCTGAACATAAAATGGCCTTTGCGCCATAGATTCTATCAAGCGGCTAACTTTTTTTACCATTCTACCTGCACGGGTTTTAACACCCTGTGTGTCAGTGGGACAATGTGTTGGTGCGTTAGATATGGTGTTATCATCTGGATCATTTAATGTATGTGGTCGTGGTTCAGAGTTTTTGGCGAAGGACGCAGTTTCTAAATCGGACACCGGATCAGGACTACCCTCATTGACTTCAGTTGCATTAAGGTCTTGTTCACAGAAACTGCCTTCACTTAGATTAGAACAACTGGATCCTATGTCATCATCTTCTTCAGGCTTTTGTCTTTCACTCTCATCCTGTCCATCAAGTATCCATCCTTCCGTTCCATCAAAGTTCTCTTCCTCTTCCAAACTGGATAACTCTGGTGCATGAGACTCTGTTTCCTCATTCTCAGCAGTAGGCTGAGTATCTTCTTCATCTTGAGATTGTTCAATTGGTAAGAAGCTAATATCCAGTATCAGGTTGCGATGCACCACTTTGCATTTTCCATTGTTGTCCACCAGCTTGTATATGTTTGTTTGAAGATTTCTGTCTCTTACAGTATAAACAGTTGGATCCCACTTATCTGCAAGTTTTTTCCTTCCTCGTTCACTCTTGTTTGCAAGAAGCACCCTATCTCCAACGTTCAGACACATGCCCTTGACCTTCCGATTGTAATTCTTAGCCTGCTTTTTCTGCTCCTTCTCTGTGTGTTTCTGCGCAATGCATGCAGCTTCATGAAGGTAAGACATAAGTGTTTTTGCGTAACTGCCATAATCAACAATCACAGGATCATGTAATGCTTGCGCAAATACAACATCAACTGGCAGCTTGGGAATGCGACCAAACATTAACTGGAATGGCGCATAACCCGTGGTCTCATGCACGGTGGAGTTATACGCAAATGTCAAAGTCTGTATTTGTTCGGGCCACTTCTGTTTTTCCTTAAGAGGCAAGGAGCGAAGCATATTGCCCAAGGTCCGATTGAATCGCTCTGTTCCTCCGTTCCCCATGGGGTGGTATGCCGTAGTGTGCGACTTCTCAACACCTGCCAGCTTAAGCAACTCTGCGATGAGGGTACTTTCAAAGTTGGTCCCTTGATCTGTATGAATGCGAGATGGAAAACCATAAATACAGAAGACATGATCCCACAGTTTTTTTGCAATTTGTTTTGCTTTCTGGTTTACACATGGGAAAGCATGGGCCAACTTTGTAAAGTGATCCGTCACGACTAATACATCCACAGAGCGTTGCTTGCTGTCCTCCGCACTCCAAAAATCCAAACACACTAACTCCATAGGGGCTGAAGTCCTGATGTTCTCAAGTGGGGCTCGAGCAGATGGCTCTGGTGTTTTGGCCAATATGCACCTCTGACAACATTTAACATACTCTCTTATGTCACGCTCCATCCGAGGCCAGAAAAAGCGTTGTCGAGCTAGTTGAAGAGTTCTTGACCTTCCCTGGTGTCCAGCAAGATCATGCACACCAGTTAAGGCTCTAGCCTTAAGGCTACTAGGCATTACAAGTTGGAACCTCTTGTGTGTGCTTGATGGGTCCTTGCAAACACGGTAAACTACTCCATCTTGAACCTTCAAACGATCTAGTTGCCTAAGAAGAATTTGAGTCACAGCATCCATTGCAACCACCTCTCGTCTTGATGGCCTTCTTTGCTTCTCCAGATAGGGCATTATCTTAGAAATCGAGGGATCTGCTTCTTGACCCCGACGAATCTCTTCGATAGGGATCGCTGAAACTGGATCAAATCCAGTAGTCGTTGCATCTTGGATATATTGGATTGCTTGCATAGCCCTTAGCTCAGTTACAGCTTTCCACTGCTCCGATAGGTTCAAAAGAGTTTTAACTGTCACTTGATCACAGGAAACTGGGCTTGTCAGAGTTGACACATATAGATTGTTTGCTTGCAAACGGAAGGTGTCCTGAACTCCATCTTTGTCGACAGTTTCAGCCTCAGAAAGCAGACTCCCATATTGCTCGGTTATGAGCCTACGAGCAATGGTTTGCGCAAACGGATCCCGGCTTAAAGCGTCAGCTACAGTATTTTTACTTCCAGCAATATGCTTGAGATCAAAAGTATAAGCAGCAAGCTTAGATACCCAGCGCTGTTCGCAAGCATCGAGTTTAGCCTTTGTTAATATATAAGTGAGGGGGTTATTGTCGGTCCACACTGTGAATGTGTGGCCCTTTAACCAGTGACTGAATTTTTCACACACACTCCACTTTAGGGCTAAAAACTCGAGCTTGTGCACTGGATATCTCCTTTGAGAGTTGGTTAAGGACTTGCTTGCGAATGCAATGGGACGTGCTTTTTCTTCACCAGCTGGTATCTGTGACAGCACAGCTCCAAGTCCTTCCAAAGAAGCATCAATTGACAGGATTAGGGGAAGTGAGAAATTGGGATGCGCTAAAACCACGCTCTGCAACAAACTCTCTTTCAACTTAGAGAGAGCATCATCACATTCTGGGGTCCAATCAACTGGCTTCAGTTTTCGATATGTGCCTGCCTTAGCCTCAGTTTTTAATTTTGTTCTTCTTTTCTGCCCAGCTGTTAGGGAGAACAATGGTCTGGCAACTGAAGAGCAATTTGGAATAAAATGTTGGTAATAGAGGATCATTCCCAAGACAGACTTTATTCGACGTACAGACGGAGTACACCCGTCCTCCTCCATGAGGTCAGTTTTTGAGAGCTTGGCTATGACTTCAACCTTCGAAGGATCAACGGAAACACCATTTCCATCAACGATGTGGCCTAAGAATTTAACAGACGCTTGCATCAGATGGCACTTTTTCGGACTTAATTTAAGGTTGTAGCTTCTCAATCGTTGGAATACCATCTCTAACCGCTCCAAGGCTGTGGTCTCGTCGGGTGCAAACACCAGCAAGTCATCTAAATAGCACAGCAAACTACTAAAATTCAGGTCCCCAAAGATACTTAACATCATACGCACGAAAGATGCTGGGCTGTTACACAACCCTTGAGGCATCCTGTTGTACTCATGAAGACCTACAGGTGTTGCAAATGCGGTGTACTTTTTATCCTCTTCAGCCATTGGGATGTTATAAAAGCCCGATGTTAAATCCATCGTGCTAAAGAGGGTATTACCACCGAGGGCAACAAGACAGTCTGATTGGTGCGGGAGTGGGTGCGCATCCTTAATAGTCCTAGCATTTAGCCATCTGAAATCCGTACAGATCCTTAAGCTGCCATCTCTCTTCCATACTAAGACCAAAGGTGAGGCATATTCACTTACTGATTTACGTATGATTCCTTGCTCTTCCATCTCTGAGAGAACTTGACGTAATTTTTGGTAGTGAGCGGGTGGTACTCGTCTGTATGGAAGTCGAAATGGGCGATCGTCAGTTAAGTGGATGCGGTGAACAAAGCCTCTGACCTCCCCACAATCTAAGGCGTGTTTGGAGAATACATCATGGTAAGTCTCTAGCAATTGGACTAGCTTTTCCTTTGCCGTATCACTGGCAGAACAAGAGTCTATGTCAACATCACTGAGACTAACAGTCTCCAGTCTCTTTTTCAGGTCCCCTGCAGTAACAGGTTGTGGATCTTTATCAGGTGTGGGCAACTGGACTCCACTGAAACCTTGAAACAGCTCAAAATCCTCCACGGCAAGGCACGGATACACATCAGCCAACTTGCAATTCCTTTTGAGGGTGATTGGCTTATCTGACAGGTTAGTGACCTTCAGGGGAACCCAATGATCTCCCCACAAGGGTGTGACAACACGACCTATGATAATGTCCCGTGGCATGGTTCTAGAAGAAGTGGCTTCCACTATTACAGTGCTTCCAGGCGATATAGCAGTGTCTCTTGGTAACTTTCCCCAGACAAGGTGTTCTTGTTTGGCCATTAGAGTAACTGACTGGCGAAGCTTGACAGTCCCAACCTTGTGTGGCGGAATACCGCCTCTCCAGCGGCAAGTATTTGCCATAACATCAAGGAATTGTTCGCATGACGTAGGTGGCCCTGAGACACTGTCAGACAAAATCCTCCAGTAATCATCACTTATCTTCATTTGGTGCATGAGAAACTTAATAACGTTGGTACCAATTATCAAATCGTCTCGTTGCCCTGGTACAACTAGAACAGGCACCAAGCATCTTTCACCATACACCTTTAGCTCGACTTCATACATGCATTTTGGTTTGGTTATTTTACCTCCGCATCCAATTAGCATTATTTCCTGGGACAAAGGTGAGGGTTTTGGCAACACATCTTCACAGAGCATCCGACTTTCTACCGCTTCACTAAAAGTGCATGCCATAGATCCTGAATCCAACATTCCTTTTATCTGGAATCTATCATTCACATAGACAGGTGCATAAAACAATTCATCAAACACTTCTAAAGTTTGCATATTCTGTGCGATCACTTTGACTTCAACCGGAGCCTGCGCACATGCCTTCTCATAAACTTGTTTAAGATCTACATCTTCGAGGGTTTGTCCTACCCTACCCACACGTCCCCTCTCCAGGTGTGGGTCGACTATTTTAAAGTCGGTGAACCTTGCGATTGCTGTGTTATCTGGCTGCCAGAGCCATGCTGACTATTTACGCAATTTCTTTTTATGTGCCCATGTTGGAAGCAAGCAAGACAGAGTCGTTGACGTCGGCAGTGTGAGAGAGTTGAATGTTCATATGAACGACACACCTTACAAGCTCTCGTAGGCGGTTGGCTCTGTCGAGGACTACTCATTTCAGCTTGAGAATTCTGGGAGAGCGCACGGTCAAGTAAGGTGATGAGTGTTTTCATACAGTTATCATCATTCTGTGTAGAAGATGAAATACTCAAGTTAGAATGTTCAGATGCCACGACTGGGGAGCCACTAGCCATCATCTCATTCTCCACGAGTGACTGTCGGTGAACTGCAACATTCCTCATTGTAACATTGCGCTTAGATTTAATTGCCAACTGTTCTTTTTGCTCAACCTGATATCTGTCTAGATGCTCTTGTACCTCACTCGCTGTCCACTTGTCTGCTGCTTTCAAACGGAAAACGGCTGACAAGCTGGGGTCCGGACAGTATTTGACAAACATCATGGCTGCCTCCTGACAAGGATTATCCATCTGTCGCCCAAGTCTTTTCAAAGCCTCTTCAGCAGCATCCACAGCCTTATTCAACCGGACCCAATACTCAACTGGGTTCTCTCCAATAACGGAAACTGTGCTGTAGAAATCTGCTAAAGGCATAGAGGAGAATCTGACTTCACTGAAATGTTGCTTTAGGATATCGAATATCACTCTGGGGTTCTCAGAAGATTTTAGAGATGTGTTGCTGCGTAGGGTTATTTTTACAATGTCTTTGGCCTTACCCAGCAGCCTGGAAAGGATTTCATGATAATGCTCGGAAGCTGGTATGCCTCTTTTACGCAGGTATGTGTCCAGTAAATCCTCCCACTCATGCACAGTGAACTTATCTGTTCCATCACCTCGGAACACAGGAGGCTCTCTTACTTCAGATTGCATGACTAATTTGACTCCTGTCAAATTAAGTGAGGGTGTTTCTGTGAATGACTGACCAGCAACTGGACTCTGTGTCTGTGCATTATTAGTTTCTCCTTCCCCATATCTTCCCCCACCTTGAACAGAAATCAAAGTCTGTCCTACTTCTTGAGCAATGTGTGTTATGAGATTTTGCCATGCAGTATCATTTAAATCTGGGCTAGCCAAAAATGGGTTACTCCTTAACTGACTAGGTGTTTGTTCAGTTACCCGGGTAGAACAACATTCAGAAGTTCGTCCCACACTACCCCTCCCTGCAACAGGCGTAGATGAATTAGCAAAAAGTCTTCCCCTTCCGAAAGTTAAATCTGACATGTTCTCCTCACCCTTAAAACTGTCTGCTTTGAAACCATATGCCATTACTACTTATTGGCATGTAAATGATCAAACATTGAATAAAATTTTAGAATAGATAAACCAGCATCGGAGAACAACTACCAAAAAATATATATGTTAAACAGGAAAACAGGTATATTAAATTCAAATAGAAATAAAGAAAGGATATAGTGAAGTGTCCAGTTTGATGAAAGTGCAATGCTCTCTATCACAGTTCATCAAAACCTTGATTGAAGTGCAGCATCCACCGGCGACCAAACGACATTGATCTTTGGATGAAGATTCCAGAAGAGCTGATCTTCATCCGGGTCACGGCACCACTGTAACCGGTGTTCGCACTCTCTGCGTTGTGTACAATAATGAGACAGGCCACTGGTACTGCTGATGGTGGGTTTATTGTCACTCAAGCGTCAGATCAGAGAATACTGGATGAATCAGAAAACAGCACAGTAAGTTGATATGATTTCGTTTGTAAATTTCCCCACCTCTCCTCAGCGCGCTCAATGCGGTCTGAATAAGCATAACAATAACATCATACCCAATTAAAACTGGGTAAACAGATCACAAAAGTACAAAAAGTAAATAAATAAAAATAACAAATGATTACAGTTCCATACATTGTGATATTAATTAATCTTCCCCTATCTAACTTTATATTAGAAATTAATGTAATTGCGAAACAAATGTAAACACAAAGAAGCATAAATGTACATAAAACAATACCTGGATGAATCAGAAAACAGCACAGTAAGTTGATATGATTTCGTTTGTAAATTTCCCCACCTAACAAATAAATAGCAGTTACAAAGTGTTAGAAGGTCATTCGAAATCACTGTGTCCAGTATACATACTTATACACACATACTCAATCAACTGTGCTCAGTAAAGTGATTAATTTTATCCATCCACATGAAGAAAAGTACTTCCTAGTTAATATAGAACACTCTTACAAACAATACAATCGCATATTTAAAGCTTATTTAAAGTTCTGACAACTTTTAGAACGATTTTCCTTGGAGCACCATTAAAAGCTCACCTCTCCTCGGCGCGCTCAATGCGGTCTGAGAACCCAGCGCGGCAACCGGAAGTGACGTTGCGCGGCAACCGGAAGTGACGTAGCGCGGCAACCGGAAGTAACGTTGCGCGCAAAACAAATATAAAACTATTTTCATTAAACAACACAAATAGAGTAAAAACTAAATTCTAACATATGTCTAAACAAATTGATGCAAAACAAATGCACGAAAATTAAAAGGAGGGACTATTAGTGAAATGCATTAAATTAATACTCTTATTAACACCCGTCACATTTACATCAAAATGTTCACCTTTTGAGTATAGACTTTGATATCTTGGAAAATGTAAGCGCAAATTCCAGTAAGGTGCAACAATGTAATGTTTCTTTTAAGCACAATCTTATCAGAGATGATTCTTACACTCATCTTAAAAAAATATAATTTATCTTGGCAATTCAAACACAACCCTGCGGAGACCACATGTAAGATTATTAAGGTCTTTTCTTAAAAAAAAAATGCCTCTGTTTGATCTCTTTTTAATTTCATTGTCACAAAATTACTTCTGTGAAAATAACATGTCAATATATGTGAAATGTTCAAATAGTCCTTCAAACAACTAATGTGTCATTCGCAGTGCTTAATTTGTGAATTGCGAGGTCCCGGAACAGATCGGGATGATGGATCTGGGATGTTACCCAAGGATGTAGAGATGTTGTGCACAAAAGTGGAGAGAGGCGAGCGGGGATAGCAGGGCGTTGGATGGCGGTGGGGTGTGGCGGACGTAAGTTAAGAGCCGGGAGGGGGGTTGGTTGTTCGAAAGTGAAGAGGGTTGGAGAGTCACGGAAGAACGTGAAAGTGAACAGCGGACGGACGGGGGAGGAGGGCGGTTAAGGAGGGGGATCGGCAAAATGCATGCACACATTTAGTCAGAGATCGATGAATTAATGCTTACTATTTGCATCTTCGTTAAATCTAATAAACTATCTATAAGCTTTTCGGTGTCCTCCACATGTTTTCATTGTGGTCTGTGCTATTTGCAGTGCATTTCTGTATTTGCATGTGTTGAGAGTATTTTCATGCACATTATACTATAAATACAATCAAGAAAAAGATGCAACTGAAATAATGTGTTTTATCAGTTTTTGAGTCTAACAGTATTCAAGTAAGGTAACTGAATAATAAAAAATTATAATTCAATAAAATTAATCATAGTTAAGGTCACAAATGGTGCAATTTCTTATACCTGAATGTTTTTTTAAAGTTATTATACAATTACAGGCATCAAAACACATGCAAATGAACAGCTATAATACAAATTCAATATTGCATATCCTGCGATGTGACTATTGTTATATATACACAGATGATTCAGAATTATTAGCCCCCCTTTGATTTTTTTATTTCCCAAATGATGTTTAACAGAGCAAGCCAAGGACATTTTCACAGTATGTCTGATACTATTTTTTCTTCTGGAGAAAGTCTTAATTGTTTTATTTTGGCTAGAATAAAAACCATTTTAATGACAAAATGATTAGTCCCTTTAAGCTATATTTTTTTGATAGTCTACAGAACAAACCATCATTATACAATAACTTGCCTGATTACCCTAACCTGCCTAGTTACCCTAATAAACCTAGTTAAGCATTTAAATGTCACTTTAAGCTGTATAGAAGTCTCTTGAAAAATATCTTGTCAAATATTATTTACTGTCATCATGTCAAAGATAAAAGAAATCAGTTATTAGAAATGAGTGACTAAAAATATTATGTTTAGAAATGTGTTGAAAAAATCTTCGCTCCATTAAACAGAAATTGGGGAAAAAACTTAATAGAAGGGCATATATATATATATATATATATATATATATTTATTTTTTTTTCTTCTTTTTGTCATATTTGTTTAAATTGCAAGGACTAAGTGTTGCTTTTTTAAGTATAATAACCAGACAGCTTCTGCACATGCAGTTAATGATATATATTTCATGAATACAAATATTACACTTTTGTCTAAACATAATTAAGCAGAACATTTCATCTTCATTCAGTGTAACACATATACAAAAAATACACTTATTTTGATCTGTGCCTGATTTTTACTTATTTATAAAAATGTGTTTAAAGTGTGTTTAAAGAAATCTTGGCGAATTTTAGCTCAAATTCTATTAAAATGCAGCGATGTAATGTTTCCTCTACACACAATGCAGTCAGTGTGCACATTTTCTGCAGACTTTGATATCTTGGCAAATTCATGCACAACCCTGAGGCATTATTATACCTCAAGTGAGATAATTGAGGTCTGTTTTCTCAAGATTAAAAAAAAAAGAATTAGAGAATCCATTTGATCTCTATTTAATCTAATTGTCATTTTGGTAAAATGATTGAAATATCAAATAAATTAAAGACATATTTCTGTCCTGTGACTGTCCACCATTACAGTATGTCCTTGATAAAGACGCTTAGCCTCGGGGTATTCCAGAGGGATTGTTCCTGTAATAAGTGTACCGTAAAAAGCCATCATCTGTGCGCAGTGTTCTATAAGTCTCTTAACTAGTTCCTCACAATCTGGTCACAAGTATAGGTTAGCTATTCAACACTAACATAGATCTCAAAAAAGAAAACACCTGGCCTTAACTTATAGAAACCCTCTGCACCAGACTGGCGCATATTCAGTCTAAACCGCATAATTAATCACCCTCCATTAATTATGAAATAAATAATTAGTCTCCAAAGTAGACTTGGAATGATGTGATTAAACCAGACTAATTAATGTATTAATTGATTTTATGTTAATTTAATTTTCTGCTAGAATGGCCGAATCTGTGGAGAATCACACTGAGTTTAATGCAGAACCTGATGACAAAGGTCAGCTTAATGAGAGGAATGCTGTTATATGACTAGCCGAGTTTACTTGAACGTGACATTTACAGTCATGATGGGAAATATATTTAATAAATAAATAAAACGAAGGCTTGGAACATTCTGTCAGAGTGTCATTTTTTAGGCACAGAGAAGAAAAATGCTCATTGTTGCACAGAACACCAAGGCTTAAAAAAGATCCTCCTGCATTTTGAATATTTGGTAAATTTTTAAACACGGCTTGTTCTTCTACAAAGTGCCGAATAGTTACTCTTTCCATCGCTTGAATATTAACAATCCAGCATCTGTTTTGCTAGAGGAGCTGCTTCTCCCTTTAGATTCTACAGAATTGAAAAAGTTAACAGGCCTATACATTCAGGATAGTTTCACTTAACTTTAATTCACTCAGAAAAATCACAGTTTCTAAATTGTTTTCCTCTGCTAAAAAAATAAGTGTTATTTTAGTTGCCAAAAGATTGCAACTTGTGTCAAAAATATAAGACATTTTAATTAGTCTAAAATTAATTCAGCATTTGCAGTCACATTCACACACATGAAAACAGCCTTTTTCTTGTAATATTGCTTAATTATATTGTTTAATAATGAAGATTTAATTAAACCAGAGCTCAAATGTGCACTTTTTTTTAATCACATCTTAAATTTTGTTGCCATTTTTATAAATTTAGAAGACATTTTTGTCATGATGTTTGTTAATTTCTGACCCAACACAACAGTAACAAAATCTAATATGAAAATAGTTATCGATTGCATTTGAAATAGGAAATTTTACATCCAATCACAGTAATGGTGTTAACAAATGAACAGACAATGCACTGGCAGGTTAGTGATTTCCCTGGAGCAGTGATATTGACTGGGCTTGAAATAAAATCCTTTAAGTCTGAGACCAAGACAAAACCGAGTGCAAATGCTCCCAATACCAAGAAAAGACCAAGTCCTTTGAAAAATGGTCTCAAGACTACTTTCAAGCAATCCAACACTAATGAAGACACTTACTGGCTAATGACTGATAAACCAGTTTAACGCTATGTCTGATAGTTTTTTAAAGTGGATAAAACTAATGAAATGAAAAACTTTTCTTAATGAATTAAATGTGCAATTGGGGGTTGTCTTCAGAAGTCTTTTTTTTTTTGTTTTTTTGTTAGGCTGGATGAGAGTCTATTCACATTCAGATAGAAAACCTTAAATTAAGTGGTCCAAATGTAATTATATGTATTTTATCATTCTGTGGAAGGTGCAGGAGCAAGAAAAGTTTGTCATATTAAAACGTTTGGTCAGAACATTATGATAGGCTGTCCTAACTAACTCTCAAAATATGTAAATGCAAACATCTGTGCACAGACTACATCATCGGTGCTCATGGATGCATTCAGAGAATTGCAGGCAAACGTCAACAACCTACCCTCTTTTTAAAGATTGAAATTGTAATTATTAATAGGATATTTATGCATATGGACATTTAATTTTCAGCCAGCCAGCCCCAGGGCTTCAGTGAACTGTTTTTCCATGATAAAATTTTCACTTTTAACGTCTGATTTCTTTAAAAATCTGTGATCTTTACTGCCTGATAGATATACGATATTAAGTAGGTTTCAGA